CAGTTAAATTTTACTTCCTTTCTCATTTGCCAACCTCATTTTTTAAATATTAGCCTTTATTAGCTGCTCGGTTTTTTTTTTTTTAAAGCACACATGAAAATCATACATGTGTTTGTCTGCAGTCTAACACATGCCTTATATAGTAGCAATCATAATAATGTAGTTCATTGTACATGATTCACATTTAAAAGTATTTAAGAATCAGTGTGCTTCCTGGTTTGTGGTATTTCAAACCCTGTGATGGAATTCTTAGGAATTTTTCAGTTCTCAGTCTGGAGGATTGTGAAATAGACAGGAAGTCTCTAGTCCTCATTATTGAAAATGTAAGTATTAATATGGTCGCTTACAACATACAAAAATGATGAAACAAGAACAAATTGGATGTAATTAAACCACTGTCCACATGCTCAGCATGTGTAATATATTTTTAGCTGCACCTTGTCACATGTCATGTATAATATGTGCAGGTAAGCAGAATGTAGAAAAGGGCAGATTTTTTTCCCCTCACACATCTGTTAAAATATTACCTGCAGAAATATGTCTTCAGGGTCATTTTGATATTTTTAAGTACCTGCTGTGGGTTAACACAGATTACCACTTAATAGAAAATCTTTAAATTCAGTAGTCCTATGTATAATAAAAAAAAATTGGTAGGAACCACATTATGATTCTTTTTCCATTTTCTTTTTACGTACACAGCCACAGAGAGATCAATGGCTCACTCATAAGAGAATTGTTATTTTCCACTCACTCTCTCTGCCTATTCTGTTCAGTTGCTGCAACTAATCTCTGCAGTATTGTGATTTTTATAACACATATAAACTAAGTCACGTTTTCGTTATACAAATTGAAGGCTTCTTAAATACTTCAGAATTTTTAGTACTAATGCATAAAAATCAACACATATCTTATCTAAGACTGTACAACTCTGTTTCTTTATCTACCTTGCTCAAAGTAATAGGACAGATAGAAATTGGACGATAACATCAGGCCTCAGGCGATAACATCAGGCCATTTTGTATTAGATAGTGCCTTCCTGTGAGAGAGACCTCTTTCTCTCTCCCCACTCTCCCTCCCTCTCTCCTATCTGTGATATCCCTATGATCTATCTATTTATTTATATCCATCCATCCATCCATCCAACCACCCACCCAATAAAAAAGATTCAACAGAATCTAGTATCATTCTGTGTAGATGTGGCCAGTGTTTGAAGTTTAGGATTTTTAGGATTAGAATTTTTCCATGTATTTTAACAAGAATTGAAAATTAGGGAGATTGTAAACATAAAACATAAGGTAATTGCTATGACCCTTCACAAATCTATAAATCATGTTGATTTTATTGGTATTTTACTAGAAAGTCAGTAAAATTTATTTTACTGAAAATTCAAGGTTGCCTAACCCAAAACATGGGTAGGTTTCTATCCCAATAGGATTATTCCATGTATTTTACCAGGACTCGAAATTAAGGGATTGTAAATGCATGAGGCCTCCTAAACATAACAATCCTCTCTGAATTCCTCAGTGATATTTGTTTTCCATTATATATTCATGGGAGCCTGACAGTAACGCCAAGTAGATTTCCAACTCAGTGGGATTTTTCCAAGTATTTTATAAAGAATTGAAAATTAGTAGCATTGTAAATGTAAAATGGTTCTGAAACATATTGATCCTCTAATAATCTCTCCTCCATATTTGTTTTTCTCTGAGAATTCAAGAAAGCCTAATGTTAACATTAACACTAACTTTAACCCTGAATATATTTACATCCCAATAATATATTTCCATGTACTTTACCAGGAATCAAAATTAGTGGGAGTATATTGTAAGGGGCTTCCTAAACCAAACAAGCCTCTCTGAATCTCTTTGTGATGTTTTTCCTTTCCAAATTCGAAGTGAATTTCCATTCCAATAGGAGTTTTCCATATATTTTACCAGCAATTGAAAATAAAAGGGATTGAAAATATAACACACCTACTAAGAATAAGGAGCCTCTACAAATCTCTTAGCCATGTTTGTTTTACTTGATAATTCAAGGAAGGCTAATCCTAACCCTAATCCCAATCCTAACACTAACACTGAATAAGTTTCCATCCCATTAGGATTTTTCCATGTAGTTTACTAGAAATTGAATGGAAATGTAATAGGCCTCCATGCCTATCTAGTCTCCCCAAACCTCTTAGTGATGTTTGTTTTCCTCTCTGAATTTAAGAGTCTAATCCTAAACCTAAGTGAATTTCCATCCCTCCCTTCTAGCACTGAAGTCAAAAAATGAAACATCTGCAAGCAAACAACCAAGTTCATAAAGCACCGAGGACCCCACAGTTCAACCCTAAACTAAATATATTCTTTTCTCTTTTACAGGAAGTCAAGCTAGTTACTTTATTCTGTAAACAGGACATAAAATCAGTTAATGTAGGTTCAAGCTGTATTTCATTGATAACAAGTAGACAAGATACAAGGGAAGCATGGTTTTAACTATATTTTGCTTTGGTTGTTTCAAATGCCAATTTATTAGTGTTTCCTGTCATCATTTTTATCTGTGGGCTGTCAGACTCCTGAATGGAAAATAACCTTACAACAACATAGTAGGAGTGATTTGCAGGGCCTGTGTGATGTGCAATAAGTTCACATAGTGCAATAGGACTGTGTGTTTGTTAGTAGGATTCACTGGGTTATGGATTTACTGTCTTCACTGTGAGTTGTATTGAGTTGTGGGGGAAGTGCAGGAAGGGAGGCTCAGCCAATCTCATTGTATACATGCTGTATTCCGACAATAAAGATTTGAACTTTGTTGGTGGGATACCCATGTATATAAACAGAGAACAAGCACCACTCACTTCTAGCATTGAAGATGTTATATAGTTGGGTAATAAAATACTGTATCTGCAAGCAAATAACCAATCTCAAAAAGCATCTGGAAATCAATTGTTGAAATTCTTTATATTATCTTTTTATATATTTCACTAACTGTGATTTAAATTTGAGCAAAATAACTGTTCTAAAGAAATTATTTCTTATTTCACACGGAGGACACCGGATCTGTCTGCAAAAAAACTTACTTCCCCTAATATTTTTGTGAACACTTCAATTCAAAACTATTAATATATTTTGAAAAATATACAGTACTTTCCAATTCAAAAGTCACCTTTTCAAATGAGGGGGTCTGTTTTAGTTGAATCAGCTAACATGTCAATCTATTCAGCACAGGAAATCAAATATAATAAATCACAATATCTCTGTGGAAGGTTTTTATCATTTTTAAAAAGTAGCAGCTGAGCTAGTTAGGATAATCACAGATTTTAATTTGTAAAGAACAACTCAAGCCTACCAATGAAGGAAGATTTATCACAGAAATTTCTAGGAATCACAGCAACTGATCCTGAACCTAGTTATAGAACTGAACATGCTGTATGGCATATGCTGATGTGGGAAGCTGTTATCTAAGGATTATAGCTCCTTGTCCTCTTTTTCCCTTCTTCAAGTTTGAAAGGTTTAACTTAAAAAACAACTGTGTTTCTTTTATGGAGAAAAACACTCTGCAAATATTAGTCTACATTGATCATTGTAAAAAGTGTGATTTATGTAAATTGTAAGGGGAAGCTAAGAGCATTTCAAGTGGAAATAGCTGATTCATAAGAAATTCATAATTTCTTAACATATGCAAAGTCATGTACTGGGCTTTCTGTGATTTGTAGTCAGAGAAGCCTCAAATTAATAAACTACATTCTCCGCTACTAAAATACCTCAAATGTTGCAGAACCACTCTTAAGCTAAGGGTAGTTATCTTGAAAGCTGTTTAATTCTATATTGGCCACAATTGATGAAAAAATGGAAAGATTATACTCTTTGTAATCTGTATACAGTTGATATTATTTTTATATCAAGCCAATGAATGTGAAATTCTATGAAAATATACAGTCTATAAACCTACATGAATGAAATATAAACTGACCATAATATACAGAAATTCATAAGGTGACCAACTTTTTTATAATGAAAAGGAGAACACAAATACAAAACAATTCTCCTGTGTAGAGCGCATGCATCTCATAATCACATCTCGCCGCACTGTACCGAGCCTTGACGAATCGTCATGTCAAATACAAATACGTTACATCACACACAATGGATCGGATTGGCATTGATCAAATATGGAGATTTACAGATTAGTCTTCAAATATCAAAAAAGAGGACATGTAGGAGGACACTTATCGAGGGAGGATAGAACTTACAAAAGGAGGATTGTCCTCCCTAAAGGAGAACAGTTGGTCACCTTAAAATTCATTCAGTTGCTTTGAGTCTGAATTAAGTAAAATAATCCTAAGGATAAACTCCTTATCTCTTTCAGTATGATAATTTTTTAATAAAGTAAACCAACAAATATGAAACTAATTGTCTCAGATTTTGTGCCATGCAAGTTTATTAGATGTAAAGATTAAAAGATTATTTTTTTTTGTAAATATTTTAACAGACAAAGGAGACACTCTTAAAATACAGACAGAATTAAATCTCATTTTATCTGATCAGTGATTTGTTATAATACATTATCCCTTTTATTAAATTGGAACTAAATCTGGTAAACATGCAAACTGTCTCATACTTATGACATAGAGAGCAGTCCACATTTTCCTCCTCAGAGGTTCATTTCTTCAATTTTTTTATGTGGTTTAATGAGGCTTTTTATCAGTTTGTGTGCTTCAGATAATGTGTTAAGATTTTAAGATTGCATTTACCATTTTTTTAATTTGCTTTGTAATTATTGTTAACTGCCTTAAGAACTTTCTTGGTATATTTATTTAATCAATTTATATTTTGTTTAAAATTAACTTTATGGGCAACTTACAGTATAATTATTTGACAGGAAAATGTAGGCCATAGATCAGTATCATCTTTAATAACACAGCTGCAACCTATTTTAATACCTATATTGAAGGATTGTATTTAAAAGAATGGTGTTAAATTAAGAGCACAAAACTTTCATTAAATAATAAGACTTACCTACAGTCAGCTGTCCTGTTATGTGTCCCATCTGATTTCTTGCATTCATGGTGACATTCCTATCTGACTGTAGGACCAGTGGACTGTCCTGGAAAAAAATTATATAAAGAATGAAATGAGAAAGAAAAACTGCAAAGAGAGAATGAGAGTATTCCTGTCAAAGACCAAGTATCTTCATGAGATCTAGTTGAAATTCATGCTTATCTTTTAGTTTAAACTGGTTGTTTTTAATGGTTTTTATAGAAGAATCTATATATTGTGCAGGTCAGAAGAATAAATAAGAAGATATTTGCAGACCTCTCAGCCTGTTTCAGTACCTTCCTTTGGGGCGGTGCTTATAGGATATTATATGCCAAGACACTGGGACAGTTTTCCTCCCTCATGCTGAACACCTAATTCACACAATTCTGTCCAATATATATGTATATCAACTCAAAGAATGTGTGGCTGAAGCATTATTATTTATTCCTTTTATTTATTATCTTCTTCACTTCCTATTATTATTATTATTATTATTATTATTATTATTATTATTATTATTATTATTATTATTATT